TACAAGAAGCAATCAATGAATGCATAAATAAGTGGAACAAGAAACTGATGTTTCTTTCTCCCTTCCTCTCTCTCTAAAACCAATCAATAAATAAAATTAAAATAAATAATAATTTAAAAAGGCAAACCAAAATATGGGTACAAAAATAATAACTACAGCGTCTGTTAATAGAGTACAACATTAGACAAGAGGATAATGATTGCATATTAGGGTACATAAATCTGATGGAATATTAGGGTGGCACCAAAAATGATATTTATAAATCATTTTTAATGAAATGGAAACTATTCATAATATACACTTATAGAGTTGCATTAAGCCAATCTTTATTTTTCAAGTTAGTTATTTGAATTAGAAAAATTATACAGACTCAACAGTTCTCTTTTCCTGGTCCACCCTTCTAATACTACTATTAACAGTTTGGTGTGGATTCCTCCATGCTTTTTCCTTAGCTCATATAAACATATATTCACACGCATCGTATTTTTTAATTAAAATGAGAGTATATTACACATATAACTTACTCTTTCCACTTAAAATATGCTTGACATGCACATCAAAGTTACAACTATACTACAGAACAACCATCATTCAAAACCGCCTGAAATCAAGCTGAATGGAAGTCCTACAACTATGGAATTAAAGAAGCTGCATCGAGAATGGTAGGAGGGGCGGAGGCGTGAGGGCCTGGGCGAGACAGGCTGTTCCCACACCCACGCTTGGCGGATAAAAATCAGGAGGCTACCTCAGCTGGGAAGGTCCTTCCTGAGGACTGAGGGGTCCCCGTCCCACACCAGGTGCCCCGCTCAGGGTTCCAGTGCCAGGAAGAGAATCCCCATAACTTCTGGCTGGAAAAACCAGCAGGAGCTGAGGCTCAGGGAGGCTGATGCAGCTGGAGCCCCAGGCAGCTCCTTAAAGGGCCCGCGCACGGACTTATTGGACTCTCTCCCTCTAAGCTTGGAGGGGAGGCAGCTCGAGGGGCACCAGAGACATACAGGGAAGAACTGAGCTGTTTGGCACTGGAGCGAGGGCTGGAGAGGGGGCTTTCTCCGGGACAAACGTGCTGTCAGAGGCCTTTGTTCCTTTGGTGAGCCTTCCCTGGGGTGGCAGACAGCCGCCATATCTGGGACTCCAGCAACCTGGCTCACACTGGTAGCCCCGCCCTGGAGACTCCCTGAGGCCCCGCCCCACCCCACCCAACTTTCAGGCCCACCCAAGCTGTTGCCACTTGCTTAACCATAGGATTGGCCTGTCTTGGATCCTGCTTCATGTTTTTCCTAAATTCTTTCAAACAAGCAGCATCTGGTCTCAGCTAGCCCCATACCTCTCTCTCGTTAAGTAATACACAGAAACAAACACAGGGAGGCAGCCAAAATGAGGAGACAAAGAAACAGGTCCCAAATGAAAGAACAGAACAAAACCCCAAGAAAAGAACTAAGAGAAATGGAGATAAGCAACCTAACAGATGCTGAGTTCAAAATACTGCTTATAAGGATGCTCAATGAACTCAGTGAGGGCCTCAAGAGCATAAAAAAGGACCAGTCAGAAATGATCGATGCACAGTTAGAAACAAAGGAGACTTTAACTGAGATAAAAAATAATATACAAAGATTCAATAGTAGAGTACGTAAATCCAAGAAGCAAACCATTGATTTGGAATATAAGGAAGCACAAAACGCCCAATCAGAACAGCAAAAAGAAAAAGGAACCCCCAAAAATGAGGATAGTGTAAGGAGCCTCTGGGACAACTTCAAGCGTGCCAACATTCGCATCTTGGGGGTGCCAGAAGGAGAAGAGAGAGAACAAGAAATTGAAAACCTATTTGAAAGAATAATGGCAGAAAACTTTCCTAACTTGGTGAAGGAAAGAGACATACAAGTCCAGGAAGCACAGAGAGTCCCAAACAAGATGAACCCCAAGAGGCCCACACCAAGACACATCATCATCAAAATGCAAAAGGTTCAAGACAAAGAAAGACTCTTAAAAGCAGCAAGAGAAAGGCAGCTAGTTACCTATAAGGGAGTTCCCATTAGGCTGTCAGCTGATTTCTCAAAAGAAACTTTGCAGGCCAGAAGGGAGTGGCAAGAAATATTCAGAGTGATGAAAAGCAACAACCTACAACCAAGATTACTCTATCCTGCCAAGCTGTCATTTAGAATCGATGGCCATATAAAGACTTTCCCAGACAAGAAAAAGTTAAAGGAGTTCATCACCACCAAACCGTTATTATATGAAATGATGAAGGGTCTTTTTGAAGAAAAAGATAAAATGTATGAACAAACAAAATGGCAATGAATACATATCTATCAACAATGGAATCTACAAACAAAATGAACAGGAAGAACAGAAACATTCTCCTAGACACAGAGAACATTTTGTTGGTTGCCAGATGGGAGGGGGGTTGGGGGAATGGGTGAAAAGGGTGAAGGTATTAAGAAGCACAAATTCATTGCTAGACTGACAAACCTCAAAGGGAAAGGGGTTGGGGGGGGGGGAAGAAATAAACCAAAGAACTTATATGCATAACCAATGAACATAGACAATAGTGTGGAGAAAAGGCGGGAGGGGGGCGGCAGAGGGGAGGAGGGGGTCAATGGGGGAAAAATGTGGAACATCTGTAATACATTCTACATTCAACAATAAAGATTTAAAAATATATATATATGCTTGACATCCTTCTGAGCATACACATGTGGAACTTCTCATTCTTTTTGTGGGCCACAGTGTTTTTCTCTGGTGTTTGACTGAAGTAGAGCAGTTATTATCTAAAAGTGTTTTATTTTTCTAAGTTGCCCCTTTCCTGGTCTCTTGGCTCAAAAAAACAGGCTTTTGTTGAGGCTTATTTTTGTCTGTGCCCATTGGCATTTCCAGATTGCCAGCTTCTTCAGCTCCAAGACTGGAACGTATAAGGCAACAACTCAACACATGTTGTTCCTCAGATCCTAAGGTCCCTACCAGTCTGCCCTCGTCTCTGCACCTTTCAAAATCTTCTATATATAATGTCCAGGGTTTTCCATTGTATTTTGTGAGAGGAATAGCGAAAAGTATGTTATTATGGACTAAATTGTGTCCCTCCAAAATTGGTGTGTTGAAGCCCTGACACTCAGTGTGGTGGTATTTGGAGATGGGGCCTTTGGGAGGTAATTAGAATTAGATGAGGTTGCAGGGTGAGGCCTCACGATGTGATTAGTGCCCTTATAAGAAAAGACACCAGAAAGCTTGCTTTCTCTCTCTCCATGTGAAGACACAGCAAGAAGGCGCCATCTGCAGGCCAGGAAGAGGGTCATTTTCAGAACTCAACCACACTAGCACCTTAATCTCAGACTTCCAACCCCCAGAACTGTGAGAAAATTAATTTCTGATTTTTGACTCACCCAATCTATGGCATTTTATTGTAGCAGCCCAAGCAGACTAATTAATGCATACATCTACTTCATTTTTCTGAAAGACCTGATTTTTAAAAATTGTATAATTTTATCCCTGGCCAGTTTGACTCAGCGGTTAGAGCCTCAGCCGGTGGACCAGAGAGTCCCTGACTCAGTTCCCGCTAAGGGCATGTACCTCGGTTGCAGTTTGTCCCCAGCCCTGGTTGGGGTCCTATGGCTGGCAACCACTAGATGTTTCTCTCTCTCTCTCTTCTTCCCTCTCTTCCTCCTGCTCTATCTGAAGATAAATGTAAAAAATATCTTAAGGTGAGGATAAAAAAAAAATTGTATAATTAAAAAAATTTTTTCTACCCTGGCCGGTTTGGCTCAGCAGTTGGAGCGTCAGCCTGCGGACCAGAGAGTCCCAGGTTCGGTTCCCGCTAGGGGCACATACCAAAAAAAAAAAATTTTCCAGCCGTTGTGGCTCAGTGATTGAGTACCCACCCATGCACCAAGAGGTCACTGGTTCGATTCCCGGTCAGAACATGTGTGCGGTTTGTGGGCCAGATCCCCACAGTGGGGAGGATGCAGGAGGCAGCCAATCGATGTTCGCTCTCATTGATGTTTCTCTCTCTCCCTCTCACTTCCCCTCTCCTAAAATCAATAAAGGAGAAAAAAATTTTAAAAAAATTTTTTTCCTTTAAGGTTTATTTTATTTTTTTAAATATTTTATTTGATTTTTTAGAGAGAGAGAGAGAAATATCGATGCAAGAGAGAAACAAGGATCGCTGCCTCCTGCACCCCCTTCCTGGGGATTAAGCCGGTAACTCAGGCATGTGCCCTGACCAGGAATTGCACAGAGACCTCTCAATTCGCTGAGCCACACTGGCTGGGCAGATTCACTTTTTAAAATGAAAAAAATTCATTTATAAGGAAACTTTATATCACTACAATAAACAGAAAGCCAGTATCGCTTGATATAAACAGAAGGCAACTGTAAAAAAAAACACACACAACTAGCCCTCGCCCAGTGGCTCAGTTGATTGGAGTGTTGTCCCATACACCAAAAGGTTGCAAGTTCAATCCCGGGTCGGAGTGCCTCTGGGAGGCAACCAATCGATGAATCTATTTTTTTTTTTTATCCTCACCTGAGGACATTTTTCTATTTTTTGTTCAGGTAGAGTGGAAGGGGGAGAGAGGAAGAGAGAGAGAAACATCAATGTGAAAGGGACACATCGAGTGGCTGCCACCCGCACGACCAACCAGGGCCGGGGACAAACTGCAACCGAGGTACTTGTCCTTAGCGGGAACCGAACCCGGGTCTCCAGGGACCGCAGGCCGATGCTCTAACCGCTGAGTCAAACCGGCCAGGGCAATCGATGAATCTATATTTCTCTCACATTGATGTTTCTCTCTCTCTCTCTCTCTCAAATCAATAAAAAACTTATCGCTGGTGAGGATAAAACACACACCCAAAAACAATGTTATAATTATCACTTAAAACTAACACTTGTACCTGAGTCTCTATCACCCTGAACCTTCGAGGATCCCAGAGTTACTAGGAGCAGAGCTCTGACACCAGGGATGTTCAATTCATAATGTTTTTCTTCTTGAATGGTGAGCCAGCCACCCTACCTCTAAGCCAGGTTGCACCAAAGGTGCTCTGAGTTCGAAGAATCGTGGATCCCTGAGAATCTTTCCAGGTGAAGCTGTGCTTAGTATTCTTCTGGGGGCCTTTGCAGGGCAGGTCCACTGTGCCTCCCACCCTAGCCAGCACCACTTCTCTCCCCTGAGTGGCTCCTAAGGTCAGCACTAGGTGGAAAAGAAGGAGGTCAGTCTTCCAGCCAGTTAGTGCCCTTCCTCTGCCCCATCCCCACCTTTGCATTTCTCAATCAGCCCCTCCTCCCTTGTCATCTGCACCCACAGCCCAAGTCTGAGCACTCACCCAGTTGCAGCAGCAGGAGCTGGTGCCTAAAAGAGGTTCCCATGTTCATTGTGGTCTTGCTGAGGCAGGCAGGGACCTGGGCCTTCCCCTGCAGAAGGGGCAGGGTCTGAGAAAGATACTAATCGTTAGGCAGCAGGCATTTATTGGGACTGGGGCCTACTGGGATGATAGGCAATCTCTCCCTTCAAGAACCTACAACCAAGCCAGGGACCTGGACATGCAAATTTCTATGCAAACCCCCACCAGTATGTGCCACACAGTGTTGTACCCGGGCCAGGGGTGGGGTCTCTGCCAGCTGGCAGCAGAAAAAGACTGATGGAGAAAGTGGCAATGCCCTGGCTGGTTTGGCTCAGCAGTTGGAGCGTTGGCCTGCAGACCAGAGTCCCAGGCTCGGTTCCCACTAGGGGCACATACCAAAAAATAAATTAAAAAAAAATTAGAAAGTGGCAAATTGGTGGGGACTGAGACCAGGGAGCCAAGCCAGGTCATGAAGTTCTTTGCATGTCCAGCTGGGATGCTGGAACCTGACCCTGAGCCATGGGAGCCAGTGAAGGACTTCATGTAGAGAAGGACATCACTAGATTTGCAAAATGGCTCCCTTGAGCTGCTCTGTGAAAGACGAGTAGGAGGAGGCCAAGCCCAGGAGTCAGGATTGTAACAATCCTGACAGAGAAGATGAGGCCTGAATTCAGACAGTGGCGGTGAGAATGAGGGAAAAGAGATTGACTTGAGGCGAGTTTCCCAGGACATGGGGCCTGATAGAGTGTGAGGGGCCAGCGAGAGAAAGAGCAGAGGGTCAGGCCCTGCTCACTAGCAGACCAACCCTATAATGACTCCCAGGGGAACAAGCATGGGGCGGGGGCTGTTTCAGTGTGCAGAAAGAGCAGGAGCCAGTTCGGCGAGCTTGGAAGTCTCTCCTTGGTGGGGGCTAGGGAGCTGCACAAGAGTTCTGAACAGACCTTGAGGAAGGGGTAGCATTAGGCTAGAGCAGAGATTCTCCAAGTGTGAGTCCAGATCCGCAGGTCACCAGGAATTTGTTAGAAATGCAAATTCAAAGACACTACCCAAGACCTGCTGAATCAGAAACTGGGGGTGGGTCTAGCAGACTGTGTTCTCACAAACCTCTTGGTTACTGATGCACACTTGAATTTGAAAACCATGAATTAGATGAAATAATAGGGGACGGGCATCCCACCCCAAGGTGTGCAGAGATGATAGGGCTCTTGAAGGAGAGTTGGGAGTCAACAGAGGAGTGCTGGGGGCTAGGTCCTCCTGATGAGGTTTGGGGGCATTTTTTTCTTTTTTTAGATTTAAAATTGATTTTTAGAGAGAGAGGAAGAAAGAGGAGGAGAGAGAGAAAGAATCATCAATGTAAGAACATATCAATCACCTGCCTCCTGCAGGTTCCCTACCAGGGATTGGCAGATAAGCTGACAAGGACTCAATCCAGCAACTTTTTTTTTTTTTTTCCCATCCTCACCCGAGGGCATTTTTCCATTTTTTTGTTCAGAGTGGGAGGGAGAGAAAGAGAAACATCGACATGAAAGGGACACATCAAGTGGCTGCCACCCACACAACCAACCAGGGCCGGGGACAAACTGCAATAGAGGTACGCGCCCTTAGCGGGAACCAAACCCAGGTGTCTCTGGACCGCAGGCTGACGCTCTAACCACTGAGCCAAACTGGCCAGGGTCAAACCAGCAACTTTTTGGTGCACAGGATGATGTCAAACCAACTGAGTCACACTTGCCAGGATTAGGGAAAGATTTGTTTTTCTTTTTCTTTATTGATTTTAGAGAGAGAGGAAAAGAGAAAGAGAGATAGAAACATTAATGAGAGAGCCCCGGCCGGGTTTTGCTCAGCGGTTAGAGCGTCGGCCTGTGGACTAGAGAGTCCTGGGTTCAGTTCCTGCTAAGGGCACGTACCTCGGTTGCAGTTTGTCCCCAGCCCCAGTTGGGGTTGTGTGGGTGACAGCCAGTCAATGTGCCTCCCTCACATTGATGTTTCTCCCTCTCTTCTTCCCTCTCTCCCTCCTGCTCTATCTGAAGATAAATGCAAAAATGTCCTTGGGTAAGCATAAAAATTTTTAAAAATCGATGAGAGAGAACATCGATTGGCTGCCTCCTGCATGCCCCCCACTAGGGATTTGGCCCACAACCTGGGCATGTGCCCTGATGGGGAATCAAACCAGCAATTTCTTGGTGCATGGGTCCATGCTCAACCACTGAGCCACACCCGCCAGGCTGGGTGGGAAAGATTTTTTTAAATCTTTAAATCTCCGGTCATTCCTTCTGCCTGAAAGAACAATTAGCCAGGACCTAACACATGGTAGGGGCTTGATAGAATTTTTTTTAAACCAGGGAAATGGGAAGAGAAGATGTCAGGAAGGAGGGTTCAGGAAAGGGCGGAGGCTGGTCACGGGTGCGGTTGTTTACAAGTTAGCTTGGGGTAGGGAGGCACTGAGGGGAAGGCTGGGGTAAGAGTGGGGTAGGGGCACTCTTACATCTGAAGTGGTTCCCACTGTCCCCCGATCCCAGACTCACTGTGCCCTGTGAGCAGAGAGTGAGGGGAGTCTCCTATGGGATAGCCCTTTCCAGGGGCCCAAATTCAGCTTAGATGCTTGAGGAATTTGGAACATTCTTGACCTTTCCTAAATGGTGGTCATTTTTTTCTTCCCTTCTCCATGGAGTTTGTGCAGAGGACCACCTTCTGCCTTCAGCTCCCTGCACTGCCCTAACCCACCCTCAGGGCTCAGCTCTGCTGTTTGCTTTCCTGCCTTGGGCTTCCGCTGCCACCCCAGAGAGCTGGCCTTTGATTCCCACATCCTCAGCCTCCCCTGAGGTGTTCTGCCCCAGTGCAACAGCATCCTGTACACCACAGCCGCCTGAGAAAGGCTGGGAGGGCTCATTGGTCCCAAGATTCTGGTGCCTCTCTCTCTCTGTCTCCCTGCCTTGTTTCTCTGCACGCATCCATGCATTTCTGTATCTGTGCTTCCCCATGATGATACATCCATCTTCACCTCCCCGTGTCTGTCTCTTCTTCTGTGCCTCGCATACCAGAGTGTATGAGTGCCCCTTGCCTCTTCCCTTTTTCATCTCTCTCCATTCCAGTTACCACCAAGCTTTAATTCTTTTTCTTTCCTGTACACAGGCATCCAGGCCTTTGGCAAGAATGCAGTTTCAACAAGCTTGGGTCTGAAGGGAGCCTGCAGATCACAGCCTGGAGCTGAGGGTTGAATGCTAGGGGGATGGCTGCAGGGTGGACGAAAGGAAAAGCACAGATCCGGAGAAACACGCAGAGGCCCCAAGGACTGACGACAGGCGGATGGGAGGGAAAGCCAAAGGAAGGGAGAGACCCAGAGCAGCTCATTAAAGCAACAGCTACATTTTGCACAATCCCTGATCACACACAAAGCCCAGGGGAGTACAAACAAGGTGAAGGCAGAGAGAAAGAGATGAAGAAATTCTGAGAGGCAAGACCCACGCATAGTGCAGTCGAGCAAAAGAGAGACGGAGAACAAGGGATACATGAGACCAAAATGGCAACACACACCGCACTCTCAGAGCCCTTGAGGTTCCTCCTGCGCTCACCCAGGCCCCCTGCAATGGGATGAGGAGCAGACTGGGGAGAGGAAGAGGGCACAGCCCCACCACAGCAGCAGTCTGTGGTCCCACAGACACTTTTATCTCCTCCCCATGGCCCCCAGTCAACCCCTCAAGCCCAGCCACGGGATGTGCCCCACACCACACACACCCTCTCTGCTGCCTACTGGCTGCATTTAAACTTCCTAGATACCATGACCCCTCTAGGGACCCTTGTGGTTCAGTGGCTACAACCTCCACCATCCTCTCCTTTGCCTCAGACGCCCACGTTGGGGGAGCCGTGCCCTCCCTCCTTCTCTTGTCCCCCAAAGATGCAGAACAAAGCTCAACTTAGAGCTTTACAAACCCAGGCCCCCATCTGCCTCCTTCCAATACCCACCCTCATCAAAGTTATTTCATTCAACAAACATTTATTCAGTGTCTAAAATGTGCAAGGCCACCCTGGCCAGTTTTGCTCAGCGGTTAGAGCGTTGGCCTGCGGTCCAGAGAGACCCGGGTTCGGTTTCTGCTAAGGGCATGTACCTTGGTTGCAGTTTGTCCCCGGCCCTGGTTGGTCGTGCGGGTGGCAGCCACTCGATGTGTTCCTTTCACATCGATGTTTCTCTCTCTCTCTCTCTCTCCCCCTCCCTGCCTCCCTCTCTCTCTCCCTCCCACTCTATCTGAACAAAAAATGGGAAAATGTCCTTGGGTGAGGATTAAATAAATAAATAAATAAATAAATAAATAAATAAATAAAATACGCAAGGCCCTTAGTCAACCCAATTCCCTCGCTGCCACCTCACCCAGAATCCAGAAGCAATGCCCAAGGGCCTGAGAGTGTTCTGCCTAGAACCAGTTGGTGGGGGTAGTTTTTATTTCGAGGCAGACCTCTCCTATATAAATGCCCTCACACCGAAAGAGGGAAATCATCTGGTGAGTGCTCTCGCCCTGTCCTCTCGGAAGTCTCTCCTCTGGGGTTGAGGGCGGCCATTTTGTATAAACCCACAGAATCTTGCACAGCCCAAGAAATTATTTGTCAAAACACGAAAAAGCAGTGATCTCCCCTTCAGGTTCTCCTCTCAGCCTTGTACCCCTAAATATCCATCCCACAAGAGCAGGGCATTCGGGAACAGACAGCCCACCCAGAATAAAATCTTTGAATGATCAAGAATGGGTTTTTCTATTTGGAGGAATCTGACTACACCCAGGAGGCCCCTCTCCCAGAATACGTCGTCTACGAAGGGAAGGCGGAGGACGCCTCTGGAGCAGGGCTGCAAGGCCATGGAGGTTTGGGAGAGAAAAGGTCTGAGGCTGTGGAGTTGTACAAGGTGTCCCATCTTGAGGGGTATCACCTCATGAGAGCCCCCCCACCCGACCAAATCTAGGGCAGGGAGGGGGTCTACACACCCTTTTCTAACCCCTTAGCCTCCTTTTCCAGAGCGGCAATGACACCTAAAACCAATTATCTTAGAGCCAATTTTTCCAATGCTGTATTTACCTAAAAATATGTATCTACCACTTTTATAGCGTTTCATATGTAAAGCTCAATGTCAATCCGTTTTGAGAATTTTAGCTCTTCCACTTCATTAATCACTTTAAAACTAATTCAAGAAGAAAGGTTTTTAGACATATTGTTTAAGAAACCCTAAAAATGCCTAAAAGGAGACAAAAATATAAAAATACATATAAACAGAAAAGACAATTAACAGGCTGCATCAATCCTGTAGCTTATGAAATGCCAGAAGTATGATTTCTGGTGTGACTTTTGGTGATTGTGTCATTGGGAAAATTGATTTTGGGAGAATTGCCTCTAGACTAGATTATATTTCTCTTACTTTTTTTTTTTTCTTGCTTTTCCCTTTGTTTCTCATTTTCATTTAGGCCTCCTGCCTCCTTAATATATACTTTCTATTTCTTTACCACCCCTCTTTTTTCTCTTCTCTCCTTATCTTCATCTTCTCCACTCTTCATAGTTAATTGCCTTCCATGGCCTTTCTTAGCCTGAGGTGGCCTCAAGTCCCGGTTGCAATTTCTTCTCTGATTTTGCAGTCAGAATCAACACCCCTCTGAGGAACACTGTCTGGGCTGCGCATGGTGGGGACATGGAGAGGAGTTTGGCATATTCACTGGCCTCTTGAATCTCACAGAGCCAGTGGGAGATCACTGCTCATGAAATGCAAGAGAAGGTGGCCAGATCTGTGGTCGGACACAGCACATTCGGGAGTCCAGCACATTCCAACCCACCTGCTGCCACGTTCTCCTCCCCTTCCCAGACCCGCAGAAAGGAATGAAGGTGAATCTGTCCATCTTACCTCTGGGTCTGTGTCTTTTGTCCCCTCTTCGTCTGCTTCTCGCACAGGTGTGCCTAGCCTACCCGAGGACTGGGAGCTCTGCCACCAAGACCCCACTGGGGAGAGTGCTTGTTACTCCTGCAGAGACGCACTTAAAGGAAGAGACAGGAAGCCGGGTATTGAGGCTCCTTTACACCCCAGATCTGGGCCGGCCCCCAGCGTCACCATCTGAGGCTGGGGTCCCCACCCTCTGCCTATAGGGGAAGATGTCAAAGTGAAAACACAGAAGTCAATGGAAAAAACAGAACTGGGTTGGAACCCAGAGTATCACAAGCTTCTTGTAGCACGGCAAGAAAAGCCATGCAGATAACTTCCTATTATTTTTATAAAAATAACCAGACCTTTCGAACCCCCTGACAGGATCTCAGGGACCCTCATGGGCTACACTTTGAGAACCACTAATCTAGAAAAATTGTATTCATTATTCAGATCTTAACTATCTCTCTGAATAGACTTTCATTGTTCTCAACGTCTGTTTTCTTTTCTTCCTTAGTAATGCCTTCGATGTTTAGCAGAGCTCATGGCTGCCCAGATTTATGTTTCCCAACCTCTTTTGCAGCTGGATGTGGCTAAATGACCATTTGAGTTAGTGGATAGAAGAGAAAATGTTAGGTGCACCTTCTAAAGAGCATACTTAAAGTCAGGGCATATGTCCTTCAAAGGAAGATGTGTGGCCTTCCTCAGGCCTTCATCCCCTGACTGCAGGCTGGAACGCAAACACCCTCCCACCTGCTTTTTCATTTACATTACCCAGCAGGCTCCTGTGGGCATGTAAGTTTATAACCTCTGATCTAGTCTGGTTCCTCCATTCATTCATGTATTTAACAAGTGTTAAGTGTCTACCAGACCCAGGGCACTGTGCTGGGTACTGGGGATGTTAGGCTAACTAGACATGGTCATGGATCTAGTTTATGAGGTAGACACTAAACATTTATTAATTTCATTATAATTAGACAAGTACTACAAAGGGAGAAGCACAGAGTGCTGGAAGAGCTTATCATAGGGAACTTTATTACAATTGGGAGATTGAGAAAGGGTTCCATGGGAAGTGTGTATCAGTAAGCACTGGGCTCTGCTACAAGTGAAAGAAAATTCATTAGAAAGTTACATTGATTTCTCACCTGAAAGAAGTCTGGAGGCAGGTGGTTCAGAAGTAAGGGAGGTGAAGGGGCTCTACATCTTACCCCAGAGGCTGGATTTGGGCTCCACCATCTTCTACCCATGACCTCTCTTCATAGCCTGAGAAGTCTACTCAAGCTCGTCAGCTGAAATCAGGGTCTCTTACAGTAAAACTTCCCAGTACCCTGTGCTGCTTCTGCCCTGGAAGCACTTGTCCAAGTGTAATGATTATGAAATTATTGATTGTTAGTGTATGTCTTACAAACAAGAGTGGTGACCACATCTGTCTTACTTGAGCCTGGTAGATCCTTAATATTTGTCAAATCTTTTTTTATATATTAAATTTTATCGATATTAAGTTTATTGTGGTAAAAAATATATGTTTACCATATAATTTACCACTCTAACCTTTTACTATTATTTTTTTCTTTATTGATTTGTAGAGAGAGAAGAAGGGAGAGGGAGAGAAGATAGAAACATCCATGAGAGAGAACATCGATTGGCCGCCTCCTGCATGCCCCCCACAGGGGATTGGGCCCACAACCAGGGCATGTGCCCTGACTGGGAATTGAACTGGTAACCTCTTGGTGCATGGGTCGACACTCAACCTCTGAGTCACACCCGCTGGGCTAATATCTTCTCATTTTAATGTTGTCAATTATTTTTCTTTTTTTCTAACATTGGGTAAATCAAACAAAGCTTTCCAGAGGCTGGGTCTAGCTTAGGGCCCACAGTTTGCACCAGATGGACTGTGTGACACCATTCAACTTTTGGGTCTGTGACCAGTAAATGTCTATGAAGGTGGGTTCCCAGAATCAATAGGATACAAGAACCTAGCTCTCACCATGGAATTTCCAAAGAGAAAAAAAAAAGAGGAAGAACGAGTAAGTTTATATCAAATATTTAGAACAGCTGTGTACTTTATATGGCTGTGTATTTTTTTAAAAATAATTTTTCTTTATTGATTTTAGAGAGAGAGGACAGGAGAGGGAGAGAGAGATAGAAACATCCATGAGAAAGAACATCGATTTTCTGCCTCCTGCATGCCCCCCACCCCTGGGGATTGGGCCCACAACCCACGCATGTGCCTTGACCATGAATCAAACTGGGACCTCCCAGTCCATGGGACAATACTCTATCCACTGAGCCACATGGGCCGGGTTGGCTGTGTATTTTTTTTTTTTTGTTAATCTTCACCCAAGGATATTTTCCCATTGCATTTTAGAGAGAGTGAAAGGGAGGGAGAGAGGGAGAGAGAGAGAAAAAAAAAAACATTGATGTGAGAGAGACACATCAATTGGTTGCCAAGACCGTTCAGTCCAAGGGCCGATGCTCTAACTGCTGAGCCAAACCAGGGTTGGCTGTGTATTTTATTTAATCCTCACAATGATAGAGCATAAGTATTATTCTCCAGATCATACAAATGAGGAAACTGAGGCTCAAAGAGGTTAAGAAAATATCCGAAGATCACAGCTAGTAACTGTAACTGGTGGAAATGGGATTTGAACTTCTGCCTGGACCCCAATGCCTAGATTGTCCCTCTCACCTCACTGCCTCTCCTCTGCATTAAGGAAGGCAAGGTGATCACTAAGAGTCATCTCCTCCCATAGCAGTGCAAGGATATTAGGCCAACAACCTCATCTGGGGCTTCTGAGACTTAGCATCACCACTATCCCTCACATCTATACAGTGATTTTCCATTTTCAAAGCACTTTCACATACATTCGCACTTGCCAAACCTTTTTGGTAGGTATTACTATCCTCGTTTTACAGAAGAGGAAACTGAAGTTAAGCTATCTGCCCCACAGTAAGACTAAGCGTGGAGCAGGGAGATTTCCAGAAGTCTTCTGCTCCTGGTAGAGAGCTATTTTTGCTGCATGGATTCTGTCTCCAGACGGGAGGAGGGGGAGGAGGTCAAGTGGGGAGAAAGGGAGGAGAAGCAGATGGAAGTCAGCATCAAGGTTGACAGAGTGTTGTAGGTCAGGCTATTGAAGAAGGGTAGAGCTGACTGTGGAAGCCTGTTGAAGGGACGTTGGAAGCCCCAGATGCAGTCCTGTGGTGGCCTCCTTACTAGAAACATCTGCAGCTGCACTGACACCCTCTGCAAAGGGGGTGGGGGCAGGGCTTGGCGATGGGGGAGGAGGGGGAAGGGCCACAGAGACTGTTCTCTGGGAAGTAGAATCTTGGAGGACTGACCCACCTCCACCCTGGCCACATTCTCCCTAGCTCCATGGCCACCTCTGCAACTCTCAGAGGGTGGCTTCTGAGCCTCCCACACCTCATGGAAGCTATGAGCAGTCAAATTTCAAAGCCCAGCCTGGGCTCAGCCAGCTGACACCTGCAGCCCTTTGGATAAACTGTCAGCCACAGAGTAAAGCAGACAGAACCCATCCCCACCCCAACCCTATTCCCTTCAAAGGGTGAACTCCATCTTGGGGTGGGCCCAAACAAGGAAACCTAAGCACCTTGCTTACCTCCTTTGTGAGAGAGATAGCAGCAGGGCCCAGGCCTGAACCCTAACACTTCTGCCTGGTGGGGGAGGTGGAGCAGGGAACTTTCTGGGCCTGTCCTGAACCATAAAGATAAGATGACCAAGGTCAGGGGAGGGGCACACACTGGCAAATGTGACCACAGGTCTGGATGAGCACAGCATGGCCTCTTGCCTGGCACACTTGACTTGGCAAAGCTCTGGACCTCGTTTGACCCCCAGAACTTCTGGACAGTGGATAATGGGAGAGGTTGTCAGACCCATGCAGGGCTGGGAGACGATACTCAGAGATACCTCTTCCCCTCTCATGGCTTAGCTCTCTTTCAGACACTGTTGCCCCCTATGATAGCCAAGATGATGCAACATGGCTCCCCAGTGATTCCTGCCTCCTTCAGTTCACACCCTTATGTTATCCCCTTCCACACTGCACCAGCATTGGTCTGTGTGAACAATAGAATAAGGTAGAAGAGAAAGCAAGTCACTTTCCAGATTAGGTTATAAAAGCATGGTAGCTTTTGTCTTGGCCACTCCCTCCCTCTGGGGGAAACCACTAAGAAGAGAAGGCCCAACCAGTGTGGCTCAGTGGTTGAGCATCCACCCATGCACTGGTCAGGGCACATGCCCAGGTTGTGGGCCGGGTCCCCAATGGGGAGCATGCAGGAGGCGGCCAATCGATGTTCTCCATCATCAAAGTTTCTATCTCTCTCTTCCTTTCTCTTCCTCTCTCTCTAAAATCAGTAAGAAAAAAAAAAAAAAAAAAAGAAGAGGCCCATGTGCGGTGGAACTAACCCCTCTGGACAGCAACCACCTGAGTAGCCTTCTTGGAAGCAGATCCTTCAGTCCAGCCAAGCCTTCAAATGACTCCAGCTCTAACCCACACCTAGGCAGCAACCTCACAAGAGACTCTGCCCCAGAACTACTTAACTCAGCTGCTCCTGGATTCCTGGGCATGTGAAATAATATTTATTTATTTATTAAATATGTTTTTACTGATTTTTTTTAAGAGAGAGAGAACATTGATTTGAGAGAGAAACATTAATCGGCTGCCTCCTGCACACTCCCTACAGGGAATCAAACTGGGATCTTTCAGTCTATGGGACAATGCTCAATCCACTGAGCCACACCAGCTGAACATGTTTATCATTTTACATTACTGAGTTTTGGGGTGATTCGTTATGTGGCAGTAGATAACTAATACACCCCTTCCTTTTTTATTCTTATTTATTTTTTTCTTATTGATTTTAGAGAGAGAGGGAGGGAGAAGAAGAGAGAGATAGAAATGTCGATGAGAGAGAACATCCATTGGCTGCCTCTTGCATGCCGCCCACTGGGGATTTGGCCCACAACCTGGGCATGTGTCCTGAACCAGCGACCTCTTGGTGCATGGGTCCATGCTCAACCACTGAGCCACACGGGCTGGACCACCCTTTTCTTTTTAACAAGAACCTAAGATGATCCCTCTCCTATCCCCATGGACCCCCACTGAGCTCCCTGCCTCCTTGGTGCCCCTTCCCCTCTAAGTCCCCAGCCTGGAACACTGGTTCAGTTCACAGATAAACCAGTAAATACAGGGTGAATTAATTCAGGTCCCTGGAAGGACTAAGAGAACACAAAAAGGGCTAGAGGTTATCTTGCTAGAGCTTTGAGGGGAGAGAGGGAGCAGCAGGGTGTGTCACTCTCTAGGAGAGCTCTCATAGGAAAGGGGGTAAAAATTAATAAAAGATGCCCTGGCCGGTTTGGCTCAGCGGTTAGAGCGTCGGCCTGCAAAACAGAGTCTCAGGTTCGATTCAGGCCAAGGGCGCGTACTTCAGTTGCAGTTTGTCCCCACCCCCTCTGGGGTTGTGAGGGTGACAACCAATCGATGTGTCTCTCTCACATAGATATTTCTCTCTTTCTCCCTCCCACTGTGTCTGAAGATAAATGTAAAAATATCCTCAGGTGAGGATTAAAAAAATAATAATAAAAGGATCACTATATACACAAGCCCCCTGCCTTCTCTTCCTTCCATTCTTTGCTCTTCACTTCCTTAATGGGTTAACAAGATGGCCCTTCACTCTGCCTCTGTCCCCTTCCTGTCCCCTTTGCACGGGAGCATGGGGAAGTCCCTGCATAGACACTGGTGAATCCTTGATGACTACTTTCATAAGCCCAAAGGGCATAGGATGTTACATAGTAGAAAGGAAAAAAGCCACCCACAAAAATTTCCAGGAAACCCCTGCCCCACTAAAACATGGGAGTTCCTGCTCCTGTCAACTTATTCCCACTCTCTTTCAATATTTTTTCCCCTCCTGTCCAGAGTCAAGTTCCCTGACAGAGCTGTCTGCGGCCAAAGTCCAGAGCCTGGCACACATGGCAGGCAGAGGTCTAGGTCGCTGTGGGGGTGCTGTGAGGTGAGGCTGTGTGTGTGCTCTGCTGACCACGATCTCCATGGCCCAGGTGAATGTTCTTTCCAAGAGAGAGACAGAGCCAAAGGGCAGGCTGGCTGAGGGTCTTCTATATCATTCCTGGCGTGATCAGAGCAGGCCTGCTTCCTCCTTCACGGATGGGCGATCAGACAAGTAGATTACATGTGTGGAGCACATCACAGTTAAGCCTTTTTCTTATCCATTACTCATAACAGCCCATTTTGGTGGTTATTATTATTACCCCATTTAATAGGTGAGGAAACTGAGTCTCAGGGAGATGAACTCTGCTCACATCAGCACAGCTGGGATCAGAAGCCAGTTCTCCTGACTCCCAAAGCTGCAGCAGCAGCCAGCTGTCTTGCTAGCTGTTCTTGTCCCCACGTGGGGCCTTTGTTCACAGCACTCTCCTTTGTCAGACTTGGATCATAACCTTGCCATGTCCAGGACTATGTGTCCCGAGGCATGTATTGTTCAGTCTCTCTCCTGACAGATGCATAGAGCCTGTGACAGCTGATGGGTGCACACTCATATGCAGACCAGGGAAAGGGCACCCCTCAAAGGTGTTGCCTACAGGCAGGGATACTGTCAGCCTGTCCACTGCACTGCTAATCTCAGGTCTGCCCCAGCCTACCTAGTGACCTCCAGAGGTGTGTGACAAGCAGTGACCACTGGGTGGCAGTGTATTCTCATGCCTGGGAACAGACAGGGCCCAAGTGCTGAGGAACGTGGGGGTGGGGCGGAGGCAGGCAGGAACCTTAGCCAGCGGGCACAGAAAGGTTGCCAGACTTGATCTCCAGGAGACTAGACACGGCAGGGCTGTTCTGTGTGTGTGTGTGTGTGTCACATGCGCTGCAGCTAGAGGGCCAAGGACAGTGCTGAAGTGGAGCCGAATGTGAGGTGGAGTGGGGTGGGCCAGAGGAATAAAAATATAAAGGAAACCAGGGCAGCCAGCACAATAAAAGCCAGAGGACGGAGAAAAGGGCTGTAGGAGTAAGGGGTGAGGGCTTTATAGAGCTTCAGAAAAATGACTACCCCGAAAAGAGAAAGAGACCAAAGAGAAAAGAATCACGGGGAAGCCAGGAACAGAAAGGGGAAGGTAAGAAAGACTGGTGGAGGGAAAAGTAGGTCGAAAAGCTGGGGTGGGAGAAGGGAGCCCCCAGACGTTGGGGAGAAACTAAAACCTTCACTGGACAAGAAGGAGCCAAACTCAGGCTTGCTGCTGATGGGAGTTTATTTGTACTGAGCTACGGAATCCTCTGGCTGCCTCGGCTCCAGGTCAGGGCTGCTGTGCCTGTGGCTGTGGCTGTGGCTGTGGCTGTGGCTCTGGCTCTGGCTCTGGCTCTGGCTCCAGCTCTGGCTCCAGCTCTGGCTCTGGTTCTTGCTCCAGATCCCCTATCTTACTCTGAGCCTGACGTAGATGAATCCCATGCTCTAAAGCAGAGAATCTTCTTGGTCGCCACTGTGGGAAGACATGCAGGGTGAGAGGAAGAAAAGGATGAAGAGAAAGGGAATAAGGAGGATACTGGGTCCATCTATTCTTTCTCATCCTCCTGCCCTCCCCCATCTGGTCCCAGGCCTTTTCCCAGCCCCTTCAAGCCTCCTTGGGATCTTCAGGAACAAGGGGTCCCTGGAGTGCAAAGGTTTATGAAGAAGGGGTTCTGAAGTCAAGTTCAGGGTCCACCTTCATCACCTTTCCTGAGGAAGGGGTGCCAGATAGCACTCTGAGGACTGGGGAGAAGGGAAGCCAGTAGCAGGGCGAGAGGAGTTCTTGGCTCACCTGTCTTCTCCAAAGATGAAAGCCAAAGGCTCCAGTCACCAAAAGGAACAGAAGGAGGACACCAAGGATGAGAAAGAGAGGAAGACGGCCTGTTTTCAGGGCTCCTGGGGCTCTCCCAGAGCGCTGGGCACCTAAGGAGAAAGTACAGGATTAGGCATAGAGTCACGGCTGAAAGGACATCTTGCCACACCCTCATATTATACAGATGCAGACCACGAGGCCCACAGAGTTTAAGGGACTTGTCCAGGATCATTCAGCGAATTAGTGACAGAAGAGGGTCAGGACTAGACAAGAGCTGGAAGTCATGCCCCTAATTGAAAAAAAGAGCTGGGAGGGGTTGGGGAGGCAGTCTGCAAGTGGAATCAAGATGACTGGTTTGGAGTTGGGGTTCCAGTGTTGTGGGGTCTCAGACCTGGGTCAGACAGCTCTGTGAGGTATACTGCTGTTCCAAGAAGCCTCTCCCCCTGGTACAGGTGGCACTCCCAGGGCTGGGAAAGGAGGCTGGCCTCCTGCACCTCCAGCCAGGGTCCTAGGGAACTCCAAGACTGCTTGCCCAGGGGTCTCCACACAAAGCGCTCTTGTCTAGATGCAGGTGTCACCTCACAAAGCAGTTTTCTCAGGTTGCCAGGAGTCACTGATTTGGGAGTCACTGAAAACATGAGAGGGAAGAGATCTTCTGAGTCCCCGACACACTTACTTGACACCATAGGATCAACTTGTCTCAATCACACTGCACTGCCCTGGGCTCTGATTGGGTGAGGTTGAGGGGAGGAGATCAGAGTCATGGCCAAATTAATCTTATGAAGACAAAGTTCTGGTTAGATCACTCTGCTGCTCAAAAACTTCCCAGGTTTCTTACCGCCTTCAGGGGACTATTCAAACTCAAACTGGGCCAGAAGGCTCTCATAACAAATATTATTTAAGATTCTTTTACATTACTTTCTACTCAAAACCTCAAACCCCCTATATCTGTCAGGTGAGTTGGCCCGCAATATATTTTGCACTTTTCCTGCTTCCATAATTTGACTCACATCAGTGCCCCTGCCTTGAGGTGCTGAATGAACTGGCCCCCTTTCTGAATGTTTGGAGAAGAGTGAACTAACCAACTAATCTAGAAACAGAGCATCTCAAAGCTGAACAGTGAGATACAGGGTGAGTAGGAGGAGACAAGAGGTATACAGGAACCTGAAGATTTGGTGACAAAGACACCCGAGTATAGACCCTGAGTCTGGCACTTCCCTGCTGTGTGACTGTGGGAAAGCTCCTTCTCTACAAAACATCTTCCATTGAGTTGTCATGAGACAGCATGGGAAACTGACACAAAACAGTGGACTCTCAAGAAGACTTTGGACAGAAAGAATTGGTAGGCTTTGGCCACTGACTGGATATGGGTTTCAGGGTGAATGGGATGCAAGTGGAGTTATTGACAGAAAGGCACATCAGCAAGAGGACTGGGCATGAGGAAAAGATGGGATTCAGAGTGAGGATGAGGTATGACTACCATATCTTGGTAGAAATATCTAGGAAAAATGTGCAGATTCAGCACTGGCCCACAGAAGATACATTATATGTGAGCATATTAATTTATTCATTCAACCAATATACATTAAGCACCTACTATGTGGTGCTACTGTTTAGTGGCCAAAGGTTAGTATTGCAGACACAGCCTAGTAACCACCACTGGTAATTGACTGAAATAACAATCAACACATTTAGAGTTTTTTTAAAAAAGTGTTTGTTTTGCATTGTCTTGAAAAGCCCATGATCAGTAAGTATTTGCTGACCAAGGGACTAATTTATTAACTCCTCCCAAATCCAGGCCACTTTAACCCAAGCCCTGGTCCCAAAGTGGGACAAGGATTCTAGAAATATATTCCACTGCTTTTGAACTATTTAAACTCTTTGCATATCTTCTTCTAATGTCTCAGACCTTCCCCCTAATTCAGAGCAGGGGATCCCCTTAGAGAAGAGTGGAACATTCATCTAATGACTCAGGGGAGATTTTCAGTTTCAGTTCTTTATATATGGGAGCGAGAAAAGAGGAGACCTCAAGGGACAGCCTCTGTAACTTGGGCCCATGGTCTGACATCATGAGGAGGATTTGCCCAGTGTTTGCCTAGCTAGTCTTCCCTCCTTGTCTAGCTCCCCTGGGTTGGGAGCTACTCCTTTCTCACATAGGGCTGACCTGTGATGACTGCCAAAGTGACAGTAGTATTGAGCTGCTGCCCCTGCATTTGGATGAGACAGGTGTAGGTCCCAGCCTGGGCCTGGCTCACAGCCTCTAGTCGAAGGGTAAAGTTGCCATTGTCTCCAGCCATCAGCAGGTCAGGGCCTCCCCCAGGAGGGGCCCACTTAGCAGTGAGGGAAGACTGGGCCCCTACACCAGGAGGCAGGTGGCAGGGCAGCTCCACCCGGGAACCTGCTCCTGCATACACTGTCAGAGGAACTGAAGGCTCCGGATCTGGAGAGAAAAGAGAACCCAAAGTTAAAACAGACGGGGAGGTAACAAAGGGGCTGGACCATTGGATCTGCATGAAAGGGAGGCAGAAGAGCTCAGGAAAGAAGGAGGTGGTCTGGCTCTGAAATGTTAAGGAGCAGAACTGAAGAGGCTCAGAAACCTAGGATGTGGGCTGGGCTAGCAGGAGACCAAAGATTAGCAACTGAGGCTGAATGGCTAAAGGAGAGTCTACAGTGGGAGAAAGCCGCTGAAAATCTGCAACAGGAGGAAGAAAGAAATCGGACAGTGATGTTCAGAGCAATCACAGATGGTATTAGCTGCTTTGGGGACCCATAAGTCAGGAGGGGGTGAGAGGGGGGCAGGAAGGCATTGTGGTCAAGTATGAAGGCAGACTGGAGGAGTTACCCAGAACAGTGAGGTTGTACATGCTGGAGACAGTGAAGCCATCTCTGTAGGTGAGGATGCAGCCCCAGGGCCCAGAGTCCGAAGGGCTGACTTGGGGCAGGAAGAGAAAGCTCCCAGCCAAGTGGTGATGGGGGGACTTCTGAACAGGGACTCTGCCTGGGCCTCGGATCCACTGCACAGAGGCTGGGAAGTCAGGGCGGCTGAAGGAGCAGTTCAAGACGACCCAACCCGAGGTCCTGAGAAACCCTGGGGGATTGGCAGTCACTGTGCAAGGACAAAGAAGGTCTGATCAGCATCACAGCAAACACTTTCCCAACACAGCAGGCCAACTAAGCTGGAAGCTCCTGGAAATAGGCTCCATGATGTAAATTTCTTTGTCCCCCTCCCCAAACCCAGCTCAGTGCCTGGCACCTGGAGGTGCTTAAAATGGATGCCTAACCCTGGCTGATTTGGTTCAGTGGTTAGAGTGTCTGCCTGCGGACCAGAGAGTCTTGGGTTTGGCTCCCGCTAAGGATACGTACCTTGGTTGCAGTTTGTCCCAGGCCCCAGTTGGGGTCCTGTGGGTGGCAACCACTCTATGTGTCTCTCACATCAATGCTTCTCTCTCTCTCTTCCTCCCTCTCTCCCTCCCGCTCTATCTCAAGATAAACGCAAAAAAAAAAAAAAAAAAAAAGACGCCTAGAGTCTCCTGCCTACTTACTTCCCCGGCCTCTAATTTTACTTGGTTTGGTCTACTCTTCCCTTCCACCAGGTCTTCCTTGCCTGAGGATTCCCACTAAGCCCACCTCCTGAGCCACAGATGTCTGATATGAATCACTCTAGCCCCGCACCCTCCTTCCCCCAAAAGGGGTGCCTCCCCTCCTCCACCCTGGCACTCCCACAGGGGGTGGGGGAAGGGGAGCTCAAAGGGTGATAATAATCTCTCCAAAGGGCCCTCCTCACACACACGTGCCTCTCTGGTGACATCTTCCACTTCGCTATGTGGTTCCCCACCCTTTTCCGCTACCCTTCTGGGGGGCTCGCAGGCAGGGCCTAGGGGGCATCCTTAGAAGCACCGCCTCGGCCCAGCCCTTCCTGCCTCCGGACCGCGTCTGGAACTGGGCGCCCTCCTCGCAGCCCCGCGCCCCCCGCCCCGCCCCCACCTACTCGAAGCCTGGCCCACGCGCAGACGGAGGCGGCAGGTGAGGGCGAGATCCCTGAGGCTCACGGCGGCGCGGTACTCGCCGGCGTCGGCGCGTCGGGCCGGGCGCAGCCAAAGCGAGAAGTCCCCGCGCTGGAGGCCGCGCTCTTCCAGCTGCACGCGGGGCTGCAGGGGCGGCCGCCCGCTGCGCAGGCCCCCGGGCGCCAGCCTCAGCACTGTGTAGCCGGAGGGCGCCACCGGGCGCGAACCCGGGGCTGGGGGCCCACTGGGTGCGGGAGAGAGAGATGGAGCCATTAAAGGGGAAGAAATCTCGGGGGAGATGCAGTCCCGCCACACTTTAAGGATAAGGAAGCCCACCCAAAGAGAAGATCTCTTGATCATTAATTGTCCCCGTTCCCCCTCTCACTGGGTCAGCACCATGCCCTGCTGGCACTTATGGGATGCAAGGATGAGGGAAGCAGTCTGCGAAGGGAGGGCCTAAGGGTGCATAGTGGCAGGGGAGGCAGGCCACCGGCTTCAGAGGAACTGACAGTTCAGGGGAGGAGACTGAGGACCCGCTTGGGCCTTGGATTTGGGAGTTCGGGTGCCCAAGTTTGGGGTGCATACCTGTCTGGTAGATGCTGCCAAGTGACCCCTCCTTTTCGAAGGCTAAGATCCTGGCGGGGGATTGTGGGCCTGCAGGGGAGCTGGACAGGAGCCCCCTCTTGGGCCCACACCTCTGGGACCTCTGCCTCCACTGGGGAAGAAAAGAGAGGCCAGGGGGAGGGGCCATGAGCCAAGTGACTTTGGAGTAGAGAAGGAGCCTGAGGAAGACCAGGGGTTCCGCTCTTTTCCTGCCAAGGGGTGGCTGAAGAGAGGCTTTGGGGCTGAAGGACTTGCCCCAAGCAAGGCGAAGGAAAACCCACCCAAACTAGGAACCTTGGCTTCTGTGTAGTCATCCAGAGATCCCTGCTGACCCCCTCCGGTGGGTTTGGAGGTCAACCCTCTCCGAGTGTCATCTCCACCTTACCTGGAGCCACCCACAGCAGTTGCAGAAGCAGCGAGACCAGGAACTGGGCCTCCCCCATCTCCCCTTAGGCCTGGGCCCTGTGATGAGCCCTCCAAAGGGAAGAGGTCAGAAAGAAAGGAAAGACAGCCTGACAAAAGAGAGGTTCTGCAAAGTGGAGGTGGAGGAAGGGAACCTAGGGGAAGAGGGACAGGGACAAAGACCAGAAGCTGGAATCCAGAGGAAAGCTGGCCAGATCAGGCAGCTGAGGGCCGGGAGGGCAGGGGGTGAGGGTGCTGGTGGTGAGGGGGGTGGGGGTCCCAGGGAATGGGACAGGGCAGTGGCAGAGAGCAGAGCAAAGGCAAGGTGGATGTCTTGAGCTGGGAGGCTGCCGGTCTGCTGCTCCCAGGGCCCTTGCTCCTGTCCTTCTGTCTTTCCTCCACCTTCCCCACTTCCCCTCTGTGTTGCCCCCCCCCCACACACACCCCAGGGTTCACGGTTTCACTTCGCAGTGGAAAGTCTGAGGGGGCTGATTCCCAGCAGCATTACCCTCCACCGCTGTGGTGGCTGGCGCTCCCCTTGTTTATTTCCTCAGTCCTGGGTGTCCCCACCACCCCCTTCACACCCTCCCCCACCCTCCTGATTATTCTCTTTCCCAGGACCTTCTATCCTTCTATCCTTCTCTCCAAACCATTTCTGAAACTACCAGTTTCCCCATCTGTAAGCTGTTTTACCTGTCAGTCCCAAAATTCACCCTTTCTTCCTGGGACCTGGAGAGTTGCCTGGCATCAGAACTGCCCTTCTGCCTGGCACTGAGGAAGTGAGCACCTGGTTAAGTAGAGGAGAACTCCAGGGCCTCCTGTGGTACCCAGGCTGCCTGCAAGTTTTTGGCACCCCCTTAGGCACTCATCAGCTCCCTCATTCCTTTAGCTTCCCCAAATTTCATTACCCCTGTAAACCTGCCTCTCCCACCCACCCATCCAATGATTCCTGGAAATAAGGTGGACAGAAAGTTTTACTGGACCTTAAAAGATGGTAGGTCTGGGGAAGGGCACCTCAAGCCCAGAGAAAAGAATAGCTATGTGGTATTGAGCTTTCAGTATGTGCTACACACACTGTACTGGACACTTCACATACAGTAACGCATGAAAACTAATGTTATTCCCATTGTACAGATGAGGAAATTGAGACAGGCTCAGAGATTAAATAATTTACCAAGGTCAGTTATAGAGTGTGAAAACAAAAGCTGTGTTTAGTCCTGACCCTGGGTGAATTATGTATGTCTTTTAACAAGAATGATGGCCCTGGCCAGTTTGGCTCAGCGGTTAGAGCGTTGGCCCATGGACTGGAGAGTCTCTGGTTCGGTTCCTGCTAAGGGCATGAACCTTGGTTGCAGTTTAAGATAAATGCAAAAAAAAAAGGTGGTGTCAGTCACTCACACACACCCTGCCCCAGCTCAGACCCCTATATACTCAGCATCTGCTCCCAATCCAGAGGTTCTAGATTGACAAGAGTGATATGGAGAAATGCAGAAATCCTGCAACAGATCAAACTCTAGAAAAACTGAGGCAGAAGTACTAGGGAAGGAAGCCTGAAATTGCCAGAGGGAAACTCTTGCTCCCCACCCCACCCCACTCAGCCTGAGGAGCCCAGCAGGGAGTGGTGGAGAGTGGGTGCCAAAAACTTGCAGCCAGCCTGGGTACCAAAGAGGCCCTGGAGTTCTCCTCTACTTAACCAGGTGCTCACTTCTCCTCAGTGCCAGGCAGTGGGGCAGTTTTGATGCCAGGAAACTCACTCCAGGTCCCAGGAGGTTGAGACCCAGGCCTTCTGCCCTCTCCCACTGCAGGGGTGGGACTTCCTGTTTCTGAGGCTGTTTCTTTGCGTGGTTCAGCACAATAGGACTGGTAGCTTTCCACTGGACTCAGCAGTGTCTAGACCTGGTGTGGCTAGCAGGGAAGTATGGGTGTATCACTGGGGAGGAGCATCTCCAAGAATCCAAAATCAGGACAACAGTCAGCTCTCAAAGAAGCTGTGCTCCATGTCTACCCCTAAAGTGCTGACCTTGTCTTCTTGAGTGATGGGTAGCAGGGTACTTTTTTATAGAAGGAAAGGGGCCCACAGAATGTGACATAGCCACCCTCCTCCCTCTGCCCTGGGAAAGCAGGAGACAGGTTAAAAACAGAAGCGCGACCATTTCTTTATTAAATTATACAAAAAGGGGAGGAGAGGGCGGCAGCTGTGGGGCTTGGTCCCAACCCTGGCCCCACCCAGGCCTGGCGCTGTCTGAGAGAAGGGGATCTGAGGGAGACCCAGGAATCAGGCAGGGTAGGAATGGGCAGGACAGAAGACTAGAATGCAGAGGTTAGGAAGGAGAGGCTTACAGAGGAGGGGTGGAAGTGGTGGAGGTGGGGGTTGGGGGGTGGAAAGAGTGAGGAAGAGAGAAAGAGGGAAAGGGAGCAAAAGGACCAGCTGTGGAGCTCAGATGAACAGGGCAGGAGGTGGAACAATGGCAGAGTGAGGAGGAAGGGCAGGGTGTGGAGAGGTGGACATGAGAAGGCTGGGGAGAAAGGGTGGCAGCTCTATGCAGGGCCCAGAGCAAGGAGTCAGGTGAAGAGTGGCTGCACTCGCTGTTCCTGCCCCCATCTCCAGGTCCTGATGGGCCTCCCACCCCAGCCCATTGGCAGGGGGCTCATGCCGATGCCCCATTTTCTGTCTTCTGCCGCTTGGGATCAGCTTCATCCTGTGGAGAGGGAAAGAGCTGGTAAATGGGAGAGGGACCTCCCCCTGTCCCAGCCGTGCTCCTGCACCCACCCATGCACCAGAGATCTGGGTCCAAATCCAAAGGGCTCCCAGCCCCTGCTGCATCCCTGACAGCCCCTCAGGCCCCACAACCCAGCCCAAACCTCCTCTTCAGCAGCTCTCTTCAGCGCGGGCCCTTCGTCTTCATCATCTTCTTCTTCCTCATCTGAGGAGCCAGAAATGGGTCATTGGGGAAGAGCAGGAAGCTCCAGCAGACCCCCTGTGGTCGCCCTCAGCCCTGTTTTAGGTATTCGAACCCACCCTAACTCTGTTCCTTGGAGCCCAGCCTCCCTGCCCCTCCCCACCTTCTTCTTCTCCTTCATCCTCCTCTTCTCCATCCTCAGCAGTTTCTTCTTCTTCCTCCTCAGCTCCATTTTCCTCTTCCTTTGGGGACCAGAAGAGAAAGCAGTGTCAGGCTAGCTTTTTGCCTCCACCCACCATCACCACCAGTGGCAAGAGGCCCTGGGATGGACCACAGGGAGGATGGGAGAAGTCAGAGGAAAGACAAGACCCAGCCTCCCAGGAAGGTAATGAGAGGGGGAATGGTTGGCAGGTATGGTCACAACCCCCAAGCCTGACCCAGACCCCAACCCTCAGCACCTCCACCACTTCTTTCTTTCGCTCTTTCCGGCTTGCCTTCTCCTCCACCTTCTCTTTCTTTTCCTTCAGGTCCTGCAAGAAAGAGGTCACCTTTCTCTCACCACAAATGATCTGCAGCCCTGAAGTCCCTCTAGCCCCTGTTCTCCCTCTGCAGTGAGCTTAGAGGAGTGTGAAATGGAGAAAGTAGCTACTGCAGCTTAGAGTCAGAACAGAGGTCCCAGGGTCCTTAAGGCCACAAAGGGGCTGAAACTAGACACCTTCTTCCCCAAGACTCAGGGAAGATGAAAAGTGATGAGAAAAGGGAACTAGGTGGCCAAGGTAACTGCTTGCTATCTCCATAGTTTTTCCAAACCTCACTGGCTTTAGAGTTCAGCTCAGCAAAGCAAATCCCCTCCATCTGCTCACAGCCCTGATGCCCCACCCCCTCCCACTGCCTGCCCAGCTCTGCCTTTTGTCTACCCCTCAGCCTCTTCTGGTACTCTTTCCTGGGCATCCCTTCCAGCTACCAAAGTCTTTATTTCCATGTCTGTGTGTCTGTCCCCAGAATCTGCAGCCTCCTACTTGGGCAAACACCACAGGAATAGGGAAAGCACCCTAGCCTAATTTCTGGTACCCCCTCCCCCTTTCTCCCACTTCCTCCTCCAAAAAAAGTTCAAGTCGTTTCCAGCTCCCTAAGGCCCATGGAGTGTGCATGGTGTGGTAGAAGAGTAGAAATAACCACTTCCAGGGGATGTAGGTCAAGTAGGATAAAAGAAACATGGGAGAATGTGGGACATAGAGGATGAAATGAGAGACAAACAAGTTCTGTGTCTGGGGTGGGACAGGAATACAGATGGGCAAGGTTACTGTCTAGAGGACCCTTCCCCGACACTGCCCCTCTCTTCTTCACCCCAAGATCTTAGCAAGTACACCCTAATGTCCTTTTCTTCCTTGGCAGAGGGAGATGCTCCTGAGAGAGTCACCTGTCTCTAGACACACCCGTCCTTCCAATTTTGATTCCAGTCCTCTTCCCACCCTACCCTTGGCAGGCACTGAACGACAGTGTCTCCCTGTGATCTGATCTGGCGTTGGTGTGCAACTCTGTGTATCTGATTCCATGTGGATGGAAGTTTTCTGTGTGAGATTACCCTGGGAGGGTGTGTCCTTTCTGGAACAGAACTGGGGATAGGAGAGGGGGGTTGGTGTCAATGGTTGGCCTGGAGAGACACTCAATTCTCTTCTCCCTTTCAGGGGAGCACAAAATGCTTGACCCTCTTACTCCAGCTAGGTTTTTTCATGTCACTTGGCTGTCCTCATTTCTTTGCCACATGGTCGGTATGGCAATTCTTCCCTTTTTTCTAATTTATTGATTTGAGAGAGCGAGAGGATAAGAGAAAGAGAAACATCGACTTGTTGTTTTACTTATTGATGCACACACTGGTTGATTCTTGTATGTGCGTGCCCTGCAGGGGTTGTGGTGGTAGGCAGATCAAACCCAAACCTTGGGACTATCTGGCCAGTGCTCTAACCAACTGAGCTACCCAGCCAGGGCAATATGGCATTTCTACTACTTGGTGTACTTTCCTCTCTATCCTGGGGCTGGAGGCCAGGGGCTCATCAGCTTCTCTCTGGGCCCCAGCACCAAGTCTGTGTGGCCCTGGCTTGAGTTTCCCATCTGGGCTTAAGGGGGGAGGGAGAGACTGTGAAAGGGAGGGAGAGAGACTACCAGAGACCAAAGTCCAAGGGGCCAGGCCCTCTCCTCCCTGTCCTGTCCTTCTGGTCACTGTCCTCCCATGATCCCTTTTCCAGGAGGGTATGTGACCTAGGTCTTGTGCTAAACAGCTCTCGTCTCATTTACTCAACACAGGCACACACACTGACACAGGCTGACACCAATTCACACACACAGATACAGAGGAGCACCCACGCAATCCAAAGACACATGGGCTGGTGTTTGGGCATTCTGGCACACTCTTGAGACAGACAGCACAAGGGCACAGTGGAGCCACTCCGCACTCACAAAGCAGCAACATGGCTCCAGGTCTCCACATGCACACATGTAACTGACATGGGCAGTCCCACACACTTGCTGAATTTCAGACATACAAAGACACCTACTCAATGAAGTCACATGCCACCACACCTTGTCAGATCTCGCACATAGCCCCTCTTTCTCCTAATGCCTTTAATCCCCTTGGTTCCCCCTTTTCACTTCACAAGCCACCTGGAGTCCTCTATGACCTCCTCAGCAACCCCCAAGCCCCAAGGTCGGGCTCCCAGCCCCCAAGCCCTGGTGGAATTAATTTCCCAAAGCGGTACTCAGCAAGTTCCCTGGAGAAATTAAAGGCTCGAAGACAGGCAAGGGCAAACAGATGGGCCGGGGAAGGGAGCTGACGGGAGCAAGGACGGCTCCACGCAAGGCCATGCAATGCTGAGCAGAGGCTTTCCGAAGGCTATTCCTATCCCGCTTCTGATTTTTCAGGACTCAGGATTCTTTAAGTGTGGGAGGAGAGGCTGAAGGGTACTATGGAGAGAAAAGAGAGCTGCAGGCCATGAGTAGAGGAATGGATATAGACGGAAATTAAGGAGAGAAATGAGAAAATAGAGACAGTAACAATCCAAGGAGAGAAGCAAGAGGCGGTCTGACCTCGAGGGGAGGGGCCGAGAGGAGCGGCTTCCCGGAGTCCTGTTTACACAGGAGGGTCTCAAACCGCTTAGCCGGGGAAAGGTGAGGTCAGGTTGGCAGGAGAGACGGGAAAATGGGGTGCGGGGAGAGGGGCGTGAGGGACAGGGCAAGTAAAGTGAGCCGCGGAGAGCTCCGACGGGAAACTGGCCGGGGCCGAGGCGCGCGGGCCTGACCCGGAGAGGGGTGGGGACGGCGGCTGGGCCTGAGCCGGGCAGGGCAGGGAGCGGCACTCGGGAAGCTAGAGGGCGCTGGCGGGCGGCACGCCGAGAGGGGTAGGCAGCGCCAGGCTGGTGAGCAGGGGGGAGGGCGGAGAAGGGTCTGCCGGGATCCGGCGCCAGGGCAGCGTGGGGCCGTCGGGGGCGGCCTGGGGCGCAAGACCGCGCGGAGTCCGGGGGTCGCGCGGGGTCCGGGTCACGGCCGTTCCCGCCCGTACCTTGGCGCTCAACTCGGCCGCTGCCTCCACGCTCTTCTCCGACATGGTGCCGGGGCCGGAGCTGGCGGGGAGCCGGGGTCCCGGGTTCGGGACGGAGGGGCGCTGGACGGAAGGTGGTCGCGGCCGAAACCTGGCGCGGTGGCGACGGCGGCGGCGACAGCGGCAGTGGCGGCCGCTCAGCAAGCTGGGTCTCTGGAAGAGGCGGCAGAGGCGCGCGGGGTGGGGCGGGGGTGGGTCTGGAGCGGAGACCCGCAGGGCTGCGGCCGTCCAGAGAGCGGGCGGAAGGGCGGTGCAGACGGTGGCCGGCGCGCTCCGGCCGCGGTCGCTTGCTCCTGGGCTCGCCGCCCCCGCACCAGCAGAGCTGCCACCGACCAGCCGCTGCCGCCCCCGGGCAGAGAAACCGCTTATAAAGGCGGCGCTGCCCGACGGGAGGGGCTCCCCAGGGGTGGGGCAGGCGGGAGTGGGGAGGAGAGGAGAAGGGAGGAGGATGAAAGCGGAGGTTGGAGAGGTGGGGATAGGAGGATGAAAGCGAGGGGAGGGAGAGCGCGAGAGGCGGGAGGGAGGACAAGACCGGAGGGGGAAATGGAGGGACTGACGGGCGCGGAGAAAGGAGTGGGGCGCGGAGGTGGGAAGGGGTGGGGTTCCTGCGGGGAGGGACCTCTCCGAATCCCGACCTACTGCCTGTGAATGTGGAGTTTGTCTTTTGGGGGCGGATTGGAAGGATGGCTAGAATCCTCCTGACTACCACCCCCGCCCCCCAACAAAGCCCTGAGATTTTGCCAAGGGATGGTGGGGGGAGCAGAGAGAGAGCTGGGCAGGTATTTGAGAAACCAAAAGCTTAAAGAAGAGGAAGAGAATGGGGGAGCTACTTCCACATCACGCTGGATTTCCCCTTTCATCAGGCATCTACCTTCATTCTCTTCCTGGCTTTGAGAGGGGATGGGAGCAGAAAGGGCAGCCCACCCTCTGTCCTGCCCTAGGCTTTTGTGACCCTTACTGGGTTCTGCCCTTTGGGGCTTCTCCTCGTGCTCTGAGGTGAGCAGAGGCCCTCCAGTCTCTCTTCCAGTTCTGGCCTTTCTTATTCGCTCATCTTATTTTACTTTCCTTCTCCTGGTCCTTCTGTTTCTCTTCATTCCTCCTCATTCATTTGTACCCAGACCCCCTCCTTCACAGCCATTTATATCTCACATCTCTCTTATTCTCTGTCACCTCTGCTCTGCTTCTCGTTTGCCCTCTTCCACCGTTCCATCTGATCTCGTTCCCTTTCCTAGACAACATTGTACTTGTCTCATTTAGGTCTTTCACTTGGCCTTATATCCTTAGTTGATTTTCTGCAATTCCCCTTCATGTCCTTATTTTCCACATTTTCCCTTTCTTTCCATTTCTCTTTCCTCTGGTGCCATCTTGCCCAGCCTTTCCGAAATATGTTTGCTTACTTTGCAAGGGGTCCAGGTTTGGAGTCCTAGCCCCACCCTACTCCACATTCTCAGTTCCTGCTTCAGTCTCTGTATCTTTGGGTTATTTTGAGAAACTTGGGATTTCAGAAGGGGACAGGAGCTGAGGGTGTGTATTAAATGTCAGGAATCTATATGGGATGGAAGGCTAGGGTTTGGAAAAGATGTCTTTGGTGTGTGTGTACTCTCGTATTTGGTTATCATAATCATTACTCTTATTTTCTTAATAAAAAAAAGACACACTGATCAATCATCATTTAGTACTTGAGTGCCTAAATAATCCATCTTTTTTGATCCCTTGGTGTACACATAACCCACTCTCTCTTTCTCCCTTTTCTCAAAAATCTTAGAGACCCACAAGGGTTTTTCCTTGCTGAACTCATCTTTCTCTGAGATCTTTCCATCTCTCAATCTGTTTCTCTGACTCACTTGCTGATGTCTTTAGCGGTCTCTGACCCTCTCCATCTCGGTACTCTCTTGCTTCATTCTTCTTCCTCTCCCCTCTCCTTTGCCCCCCCCCCCCCAAGTCTCCATGTCTCACTCCCTCCCCGTCAGTCTCTTTCCTCTCCCTCCCACCCTCACTTTACCCTCTTCACTACCTCCCAGCCCCGCCTGCTGTCTCGGACACCCTGCTGGGCTCTTACCCTGTTGCCCTGGTAACCGCCCCCACTCCGGTCACCTCCACTCCCCTCCCCCCTCCAATCCCCGCCACCAACAACCTCCATCCACCTTCCTCCTATTTTTCCTGAGAGCCAATAGAAACTCTGTTGCCAGGTGGAATGCTCATTTGAATCAGCCAATCCAAGAGCCAAACTGCATGCCCTGCCTTATATGGGGATTTGAGGAGGGCCACTCCCCCCACTCCAGCCCCACAGGGGAGCAGCCCCTCCAGTGCCCTTTCTGCCTGATCTGGAAAGAGCCTGGGACCCTCTCTCATTCTTCAGTAAGGGCCTGGCCTCCCGTTTCTCTAACTGGGACCGCCAGGGTTAGTGTGGGGTGTGAGCGGGATTGTGGGTTGGGCCTCAGGGCCGGGGGTGGGAATGAGGTGTGATTAAAGAAGGGGAGGCGGAGGCAGCCGGGAATTTTGCCCAGGGAGGGGTGTCTGGAAGCGGAGGCAGCTGCAGTGGAAAATTCCAGGGAGATGGAACGGCAGAGAATGGGAGTCCTGCACCAAGGCCCAAGGGAGTGCCTCGAGAATCTAAGAGTTTGGACACTAGGGTCCGCAGGGATCACAGGAAAAAGACTTAGGAAGCTGGAGGCCTGGATCTAAATCCCTTTCTGCACGAGAAAAGCATCTCTTAGCCTTCCCTGTCTGGTTGGACAACAGACTGGTCTCCTGAAACCTTGGCTTAATAAGAAAGAAGCTGGAAGTGAGACAGGATGAATATGGATTGGGTGGGTTGCTGAAAGCCAACCCCCATAGTCCTTGAGGTTAGACTTTGGGCCTCCTGGGCCAAATAGTGTTAAATGATGCCAGCATGTTTGATCCTTTCCACAGAACTATTTCTGAGGCCTTGTGGAGGCTTGCCTATCCCTACAGTTCTATTACTCCATAGTCCAATTGAGAATTTCTTCCACTGGTTGAATGGGGAAACCTGTGCTTCTTACACATTTTCTGGAGGTGGGAAAAAAGAGGCCAGGTGAGAACAAGGGAGGCATGAACCCTCTGGATACTGTGACTTCCCACCTGACATCTAGAAATTTATCCCAGTACTGTTTGTAAGGTGTTCAATTCTAACTATTTCTATATCATTCATAAGTGAATTCTTCCCCCTCTTCAGCTTCCTGTTTGTTGTTGCTGTTGTTTTTTAATTTGCCTATTTATCTGATAGGTTAAGTGCTAAGGAAGGTCTCTTTATCCTTCAAGGCATTGAAGAACAGAAACCTGAGAGTTGGGCCTCTTCACTGCACTTTTTATTTTATTTATTTTTCTGTGGTACGTGTCCCTAGCGGGAACCGAACCCAGGACTCTCTGGTCCGCAGGCTGACACTCAACTGCTGAGCCAAACTGGCCAGGGCTCCTCACTGCACTTTTTAATCCTCACTTCCAATAACCTTATTTTCTATTCCTCATTTTTCCTTTTTTTTTTTTAACCTTTAAAAAACTCAAGTTAGTAGAGAGTTGAGAAGAGATGGACTCCTAGAGAGAAACCTAAACCAGCTTAACTTTGATCCTGTTTGAGTATGTTGCCCCCAGGAGTGTTACTTAAATCATCTTCATAACACTAAGGCACATTCATTATGAACACTACCGGTCAAGTGTGTCCATCATTATATTATGGTCAAATTTAAGTAGAGTTAAACTAAAATTCAAGTTTTCTTTTTGCCTTATAAAGCGTGAACTTTTACACTTCAACAAACTTATTGAGCTCATACTAGATATTAGGCATGGTGCTGTGTATTGGAGATTCAAAGCTAAATGCAAAAGGCATGGTCCTTGCCCTCAAGGAATAGATGGGGAGAGCTCCAAGTACAGCATGAAAATGGGCATGTATCCAGTGCTCTTCCCACCAGTCACACCAGAGAGCACCCTGTCCTATCTCCATGGGTATTCTTAAGGAATGCCTCCCTGATCTCCTTATTTTTACAAATCCTTATCCATCATTCCCAATTCCAGCCTTTTTTGGTTCCTCCACTGTTATGATTGTCTCCTCCTGTACATAATACCTAATACCAAAGATATAATGCTAGGCACCAAAGAAGAGCTCTATAAATTGATTTCCTAGCCCTGACACACTATTTTGGACTCAATCTCAGCCCTTTCAACCTTCTTTATTTGAGTAGGCGGGGAAAACTTACAACATACCACCAGGATATCAGCTTGCCTTGCTCTAACTTGGGATCGGCTCATTAACTACTGATGTCCTGGTGATCACTGTCTGTCTTTTACGGTTTCAGCATCACAACCAAAATTTTTGTGTCTTTCATACTTCCCCATGAACTTTCTCCCCAGCAAAAAGAATTGGTTTTGCCTCCAGATGGTTTGATTGGCTTTTCTTGTTCTCCATGCCTTCTTGGTAATCTTCACTTTTACCCCTAGAATAGTTGGCTATTGCCTAACCTTCCACTGTCCTCCTTTCAATTTCTCTTCAAAAAGCCTTCACAAGCCTTCAGAAAAGTCCAGAAGAAAGATAACATAAATGCTTCTGGCTCTAATAAAATTTTCTGTGGTAATGGAAATGTCCTATATCTGCAATTTTCAATACAGTTGCCACTATCCACATGTGGTTATTGAACACTTGAAATGTGGCTAATGCCACCGAGGAACTGCATTTTTAATGTTAACTTTAATTAAATTTAAATAGCCATGTGTGGCTAGCGGCTACCTTATTGGACAGCACCACTTTAGTCCTTGGCCCTAAGCTGTCTTTTCTTTCTCCACCTCCTTTCTATTCTCCATCCACAGTGTTCTGTACGTAGAAAGTCAAGAGCAACTCTGCATGCTGTGTTGAAAGTAATCTGGGCCACTTCTGTCATATGCTTTACCATAGGTGCATGTTTGTTCAGGGTTTCCACATTTTCACAGATTAAACAAACTGGCTAACACAGAGAAAACAGTAGGAAAGAAAAGGATAGGGAAAATGGGACCAGGAGTGATAGCTAGAAACTTATTTTTCCTAGAATGTAAAAGACTGAAGGAAGATTTGATAACTAGAAGGCAATGCCAGTGTTGACTGAACCCTTCCAGATGACTCCAGTCTCAGGGGTCCTATTCTCAGTATTCTCAGCCTCTCTAAGTGACTCCATTGTGTACTTCCATTGTTTTGTTTTTGTTTTTTTTAAATTATTTTATTTATTATTATTACTTCCATAGTTTTAAGTCCTTCTGCCAACACATACCTCAAAAGCTGATGACCTGTAAACCTGTATCTCTAGCACTGGCTTCTCGCCAGAGTCATGACTCCCAATTCCCTTCTGTTCATCTCTCCCTGGATCCTGTACAGCTCCTCAGACCCCACATTCCAATGGAAATTTCCTCATTTTCTCTTTCAGTTAAATGTACT